CTTCAAAGAAATAGAAGAAGCAACCCAAAAATTCACATGGAACAATAAAAGACGCCAAATAGCAAAAATAATCCTTAGCAGAAACAACAATCCTGGAGGAATATCATACCAAACTTCAAACTCTACTACAAAGTCACAGTAATCAAAACAGCTTGGTACTTGCACAAGAACAGACCTGAGTACCAATGGAATAGAAATGAAGACCCAGAAATGAACCCAAAGACCATCTAATCTTTGATAAGGGAACTAAAAAAATAGAATAGAAGAAAGACAGCCTCTTCAGTAAATGGTGCTGGCAAAATTGGCTAATCACCTGTAGAAAGCTAAAAATAGATCCTTATCTGTCACCCTGCGCCAGAATCAACTCCAAATGGATCGAAGACATCGGCGTCAAAGCAGACATCCTGAAAACATTACAGGAAGGAGTAGGAGAAATTCTAGGACTCCTTGGCACAGGCCTAAATTTCCTTAATAAAGACCCAGAAACACAACAACTCAAAGAAAGGTTGGACAAATGGGATGGGATTGAATGAAACTGCAGAGCTTCTGCATGGCAAAGGACATAGCTACCAAGATCAATAGGAATCCCATGGATTGGGAGAAGATCTTCACTAGCCATACAATGGACAAGGATCTCATATCTAAAATAAACTTGGAGTCAAAAAATTAAATCCTCCAACAACAAATCCTCAAAGAAACAACCACCTGAGTATTAAGTGGGCTAAAGACTTGTCTGAAGAGGAAAGAAGGATGGCCAATAGATCATGAAGAAATGCTCAACTTCTCTAGCTATAAAAGAAATGCAAATCAAAACAACATTGAGATACCACCTCACCCCAGTTAGAATGGTTAGAATCAAGAAATCTAATAACAAGAGATGCTGGAGGGGATGTGGCCAAAAGGGAGCCCTACTGCATTGTTGGTGGGAGTGTAAACTTGTTCAACCACTTTGGAAGGCAGTATGGAGGTTCTTCAAAAGACTCCACATAGAGCTCCCCTATGACACAGCAATCCTACTTTTGGGAATTTGCCTAAATTATCATAAACAAGGTCATACCAAAGCTACCAGCACAAGCATGTTTATGGCAGCATTATTCACCATAGCTAAGATATGGAACCAACCCAGATGCCACTCAGTAGATGAATGGATCAAAAAAATGTGATATATATATATATATATATATATATAATGGAATTTTATGCCTCCATCAGAAAGAATACACTACCCCCTTTGTTAGAAATTGGAAAGATTGGAAAAAAATTATATTAAGTGAAGTAAGCCAGACTTAAAGAAACATAGATCCCATGGTTTCCCTTATCTGCTATAACTAGCATATGTCTAGGACCAGCAGAAGTGGTCAACAGCTATGTACATATGACCATATAACCTGATGCTAAGTGAAATGAACCCCAAGATAGGGACACAAGAGATTTTATCTTTCTTGCTGTTCTTTTTAATGTACTTATAATATAGTATGCGATTTTTTTTGTTTCTTTGTATGTTCTTCCCCCATGGTATAACCCTTGTTGTCACTGTATTTGATTCCAGTCTCCTGCCTCTTGTATATACTTTTTTCTAATTTGGGGATGGGAAGGGAAATAATAAAATGCTGAAATAAGGATATAGGATGACCCAATGTAACAATAAGATGTACAAGACAGTATGTTGAAAATTAACTTTGCAATTTTTGTGGGGGGGGGGGAGGAGTTGGGGGTGGGGAAAAAAAAGGATGGTAAAAGAAAAAAAGGAGAGGGTAACAATGCTCAGTAGGAAATGGACTCATTACCTTGCTCATATAATTGTAACTCCTTTGTACAGTATCTTTACTATATATATATATATATATATATACACATAAGTATATCTTTACTATATATATTGTTTATTATTATATATAGAGAGAATTCATATATATGCATCTATAAATTATATTTCCCCTAAATTAGTAAATCAGTATTTTTACTTGAAATTGTTTCAAGCCAAGAAAGGCCAAATAAGTGTCATTTGATCCACTCATATCCACTTCAAATTCAGCCATTATGTAAGTAACATATATTTAGCTTCTCTATCATTTTTTCATGGAAGGAAAATATAAAATATCCTAGGCAAGTTTGTTTATCCTACAAAATTAAGAAGAGTAAGGGAAGGGGTACATAGGGGAGGGATAAGTGAAAATGTTGAAAAGGGTGACATTGATCAAGATTCGTTGTAGTCATAAATTGAATTATTAAATGAAAACTTTGTACAACTACTTAAAGGCAATAATAATTAGAAAGTTTTGAAATTGAAATTGTCTTAATATTTTAAAAAATCAAGTGATTCTGGTATTTTAAAATAAGTTATAAAATATACTAGTATAAAACAACTGGTGAGAAAGGAAACAGTAGCCAATCTGAGCCTAGCCATGGCCTCTTTTTTATTTCCATATTAATTCAAGAATTAGATTTTTTCTATTTGTGTAAAAATCACTTGAAGATTTTATAAAGAATACATGGAATCTGTAAATTACATTGGGTGCTATGAACATTGTGCAGAATATCTTTTAATTTGTGTGTATGACATCTTCAGTTGTTTCATCAATATTTTGTCATTTTCAGTATACAGATTTTTTTTACTTCTTTGGTAAAGTTTAGCCTTAAGAAGGGAAATATGGAGAAAAATGAGGGAGGAAGTAACAAGTTCAACAAGAAATGTACTCACTACTTATGAAACTGTAACCCCTCTGTACATCACCTTGGCAATAAAATTAAAATTAATTTGGGGCATTATTTTAAATGGTATTGTTTTCTTAATTTCTATTTAAGATGATATTTGCTTTGTTTGTTGATGTTGGACCCTGTAACTTACCTAAATTCATTTACACTTCTATCAGCCCTTTGTTGAACTCTTTAGGGTTTTCTATCATATCATTTACACAAAAGACAGTGTTGTTTCTCCATCATTTTAATGATTTTTATTTTTAAATAGGTTTTTATTGTAAAAATACTGTACAGAGGGGTTACAGTTACATGAGCAAGGTAATGAGTACATTTCCTATCAAGCATTGTTTCTTGCCTGATTGCTGTGGCTAGAACTTTCAGTACTATGTTGAAAAAAAGTGGTAAACGAGAAAAATGTTCATTTATTTTTTCCATTGTATACATTTTGGCTATGAATATTTTCTTTCATTCCTAGTTCATAGAAAGTCATGTAAAGGCATTTGATTTTGTCAAATGTGTTTTCTGCATTAGTTGAAGTGATCCAATGTTTCCCCCCGCTTTGCTCTGTTGCTGGGGTATTTTGTATTGTTTTTGCATGTTGAAGCAAGCTGAATCATGGCAATTAATCCTATTTGACTACGCTATCCAATGTTTTCCATGTGCTTCAAATTACTCGTATTTAGTTCAGAATTTGTATATTGAGTTTCTCAATATTCATAAAGTATAATTAACAGCACACATTTCTCTTTTCTTCTATTATCTTTATCTAACTGCAGTATAAGGGTAATGCTGACCTCTGAGTGAGTCTGGAAGAGGTATTTCCATTTCAATCTTTTTGAAAACATGAGAAGAATTATTAATTATTTGTTAAATAATTGGTAAAATACAGTAGCAAATATTCCACATATGAAAGAGAACAAGCTATACTTGTCTTTTTCAATCTAGCTTATTTCACTTAACATAATGGTCTCTAGTTCTATCCCTTTTCCTGCACATGAAATAATTTCATTTTTATTGATGGTTAAATGATACTTCATTATTGTGCATATATACTGCATTTTCTTTATCCATGTATCAATTGTTAGGTTAACAGTATTGAAGTACATTGTCAGTGTATATGAAATTTCATGGTGAAATCCTTTGTACAATTAATATATAATCAATAAAAATTTTAAATAACAAAATACACTAGTGAATGCATTTGGGTTTTGGGGGAGGAAAGAAGGGTTCATGTCTGTTTCAACCTCCTAATCATTTATAACCAAATTTTTATTTTTAATTTCTTTTTAAATGTGGAAGTCTTTTGTGAGTTGTGTGCTTTTATGATATTGATCATTTTCACTGTGCTATCCAGTTCATTGATATTCACAACATTTTTGTATTCTTTTTATGTAATGCCAATATTAACTCTAGTTTAATTTCTAAGTTTAATAATTAGAGACTTTTTTCCAGAGCAGACGACTGAACTCAGGGCCTTGCACTTTCCAGGCTTTTCCACTGAGCTTTTCCACTGAGCTAAATCCCCAACCACTTTTCTTCATTTCTTAATCTACCTGTTATGGTTTGGATAGGAAGTATCCCCCACAAATGTCTTATTAATAAAGTCTTGCTCTATAGTTGCTAGTACTATTTGGGGAGCTTTTGGAACCCTTAAGAGGTGAACCCTCACTAGGGGAAGTAAGTGATTGAGGGGAATGTGCTTGAGAGTAGTACTTTGTTACTGGTACACCTCTCTCTCCCTCTCTGTTCTGCTGCTCCTTGGGTACCATATGGTGACTCAAATTGCTCTTCCATGCCCTCTCTACCATGATGCTTTGCTTTATTATGGCCCAAACCAATGGAACTGGCCAACTATTAAATGAAATCTCAAAATCAGTGAACTTAAACAAATCTTTTTACTGTCAATTGTTTTCACAGTGATGAAAAGTCTAACACATTACCTAAAGATTTGATCATTGTGAGATTTTCAAACAGCTAACATTGATTAATTTTTCTATTGTTTTCTATTTTCAGTGTATCTGTTCATTTTCCTCCCCTTTGCTAGTTTTAGATATAATTTGCTCTTCTTCCTCTAGTTCCCTAAAATGCAAAGTAAGACATTCATTTGAGAGTTTTGACTTTTTAAATGTATGTGTTTATGACTGGACATTTCTGTCATGTTTTGTTATAGCTCTTAAGTTTCTGTATGTTATAATTTCATTTTGATTTTTGTTTTCTTCTTTTCACTTTTTTTAGCTTTTACATCAGAGCCAAACTGCATGAGTCAACAAACCCTCATCACTGCCAACAATTGTAGGAATCATATTCCATCGTACATGCACCAAAATTTCATATTCAACAATGAGTTCCAGGTTGCAAAAGAGAATTTACTATTTGTACCTGTCTCTAAAGTTTTGTTACAAATCAAACACACACACACACACACGTGCTACTCAATAAGTTTTCTCAAAGTATTTTCTAATTTATAAAAGGAAATTTTATTTTGGGGCTGGGAAGGTGGCTCAGTGATAGAGTGCTTGCCTTGCATGCCTGAGGCCCTGGGTTCGATTCCTCAGCATCACATAAGCAAAAAGAAAAAAACCGGAAGTGGCACTGTGGCTCAAGTGGTAGAGTGCTAGCCTTGAGGAGAAATGCTGAGGGACAGCACCCAGGCCCAGAGTTCAGGCCCCACGACCGGACCCCCCACCCCCAAAAAAAGGGGAAATTTATTTGCCACATATTTGTTAGTTTCCTAATTTTCTTCCTGTTAAGTTCTATGTTTACTTCATTGTAAAAAGAGAAGATAGCTTTATTTTAAAAAAATAAATAAGTATTAAAAACATCATAAAATTTTAAAAAATTGCAATCTTATTTTGTGGCCTAATATATTGTGTATCCTGGAAAATGATCCACATGAGAAATTGTGGTTTTGGTTGTATAGTGTGCTGCACATCTGTCAGGTTTAGTTGGTTTATGATGTAGTTCATGTCCTCTGTTTCCTTATTGATCTTCTATTTGTTTTTTCCATAAACTATTGAACATGGTACATTAAATTTCCCTACTATTATTGATGAACTATTCTTTTTACCTCCTAGCTGTAAGAATTTCTTTATATAATTTCAAATAAATCATTTTGATGCATGAATAATTATAATTTTCATATATTTTTGTTAAATTACCTTATTAATATATAGTACGTTGCTATTATCTGATATTGTTTACTTGAACTCAGTTATGTCAAATACTGGTATAGCCACCCCAGCTCTTTGTTTACATTTATATCTATTTCCTTCCGTGTGTGTGTCTGTGTGTGTTTGTGTGTCTGTGTGTGCGTGTAACAGACCTGAACTCAGGACCTGGTTGCTGTCCCTGAGCTTTGTTTTCTGATGGCTAGCATTCTACTATGTGAGCCCCTTCTGGCTTTTTGAAGGCTAATTGGAGAAAAGGGTCTCATAGACTTTCCTGCCCTTTGGCTTCAAATCCACCATCCCCAGATTTCAACCTCCTGAGTAGCTAGGGTTACTGTCAGGAGCCTAGCACCTAGCTTGTTTCCTTCCTTTTACTTTCAACCCATTTGCAATTTTACAACTTAAGTAAGAGTCTCTTTGTATTGTTGCATATAATTGAAATGTGTTGTTAAAAATCTGTTCTTTTTGAGGAGTGGACAAAGGGGTGACAGGAAAGGAGTGAGAAAGGGTGATCAAATGCACTCATTAAATTCAATGTACATTTCATAAAAAATGAATTACTTAATATAGGAGTAGGGACAGGAGGGAGAAAACAGAAGAGAATGAAGGAATGGGTGACATTGACCAGGATACACTGTACTCATAACCTGATTTATAGAATTGTAACCTCTATGTACAAATAATAATAACAATCACAAAGAGAAAAAAGTCTGTTCCATCAACATATGACTTTTGCTTAGAATATTTAATCAGTTTACATTTAAAATAGTTATTGATAAAAAAGGCATTTCTTCTGTCATTTCACTCTTTTTGTGTATAAGCTACAAATATCTTTATGTGACCACCATGTAGAGCATATTTAACTTACGATGTTTCCAATTTAACTTTAGTCACATACAAAAACTAGTCTCACAAATCTCTGTGCTTTTTTTGCTGCAGATGTCAAAAATTACATTTATATACAATTTGTATTTGTCATTCAAATCCTTTAAAAAGTAAAAATGCAGTTGTGAAATAAGAGTAGAATTTTAGTAGCCTTCATAAATTCTCCTATATTTATCTTTACTTGTGAACTTTACATTTCATACAATCCCATTACTCTCTACCATTTTTTCATATTAATCCTAAGTGCTGCCTTGACAGTTTTATAAGGCAGGTGTAATAGTAATGAATTCTTTCAGTTTTTCCTTTCTGGGAATGTCTTAGTTTCTTTCTTTTAAAAATTGTGATAGACTATGCACAATGCAAAATTTACCATTTCTACCTTTTTAAATGCACATTTGAATAGGATTAAAACCATTGGAATGTGTGTGTGTGTATATATATAGATATATAGAGATATATTATAGATATTAGTACTATCCATGTCCACAATTTTATTGTTGGTACTGAATTTGAACTCAAGATCTTGTGTTTGCTAAGAAAGCACTCTACCTTTGAGCTATGTCATAAGCCCTCCATACATTTTTTCATAAGCTCAAACTAAAACTCTGCATTGATTAAGCAATAGCTTCCAATTCTGCCCACTCCTAGCTCCTAGTGACCACTATTCAACTCTGTCATTAATGAGCTTGAATACTCAATGAATTTCATTTAAAGTCAATCATATTGTATTTGTCCTGAACTTGAATTCTCAATGAATTTCATTTAAATTCAATCGTATTGTATTTGTCCTGTTGTGACTGATATATTTCACACAAAATAATGTCTTTGGAGTTTTATATGTTGTAGCATATTGTGGTGACATTTGTGCCTCTGTGTGTGTGTGTGTGTGTGTGTGTGTGTGTGTGTGTGTGTGTGTGTGTGTGTGTGTGTGTTCCTTCATCCTGGGGCTTGTGCTCAAGGCCTGATTTCTGTCCCTGGGCTTTTTGCTCAAAGCTAGTGTTCTACCACTTCAACCACAGCTATACTTCCAGCTTTTTTGATGGTTAATTGGAGATATAAATCTCACAGACTTTCCTGCCTAGGCTGGCTTTGGACCACAATCCTCAGAACTCAGCCCCCTGATTAGCTAGAATTACAGGCATGAGCCCCAGTGGCCGTCACCCACATTATTTCCTTTTGAGTATAACATACATATGCACACTCACATATTTATGCAACCATATATGTATATGTATATCTAGCTATGTTCCTGTATATGTACTTATCTTGCATCAATCAGTATACATTACATTATACATCATATTATACAGTATATGTATATATATACATATATATATATGTGTGTATATATATATCTATATATATATATGTACATATCTATGGTACTGGGGGTTGAAGTCAAGGCCTTGTAGTTATTCATTTTTTTTTATGACTGATGCTCTATCATTTGAGATATGACTCTAGCTTGGCTTTTTGGTCATCAATTTGAGATGGAGTTTTGAGGATATTTTTAGCTTGAGCTGGCTTCAAATTTTGCTCTTTCAGGTATTAGGCTCCTAAGTAGCCAGAATTACAGGTATATTTTCTTTCTGGTTGCCCTAGGAACTACACATATAAGAATATATGTAAGTGAAGGAAATATTTTTCAGATATAGTTGATGCTGGCCACATTGTTTTTTTTGTCAGTCATGGGGCTTGAACTCTGAGACTGGGTGCTGTTCCTGAGCTCTTAAGCTCAAGGCTAGTGCTCTACCACTTCTGGTTTTCTGGTGGTTAGTTGGAGATTAGAGTCTAACAGACTCTAACTTCCTAGGCTGGCTTTTAGCCATAATCCTCAGATTTCAGCCTCCTGAGTAGCTAGGATTACAGGCGTGAGTCACCGGCATCCAGCTGATCACCACTTTTTATTTAACTACTTTAAATATCATTCCTTTCACCCTGTCCTGAAGAGTTTCTGATGAGTGATCTGCTACTAAAATTGATGGGCAATTAAAATTTGGCTCCAGTGGTAGAGTTACAGCTTTCAGTGAATTAAAGAAAGAGAACTAAGTTTAAGCTCCAGTACTGGCATAAAAATAAATAAGTAAATAAACAATCAAATTGTCAAGGACTTTTATATGTAATGAGAAAATTTGCTGATTTTTTTCCTTGTCTTTGTGAAAATTTGTTCTGTTCTCTTCCAGTTTATCTTACTTTGAGTTCATTGAGTTTCATACACTTATAGTCTTTCGTCATATTTAGAAATTTGTACTGTTAGTCCCTCAAATTCTCTCTGAGCATTTTTCTCTTTCCTTCTGGAGTTCTCACTACGTAATTATTTGCTGTACAGAGGCATTACAGTTACATGAGGAAGGTAATGAGTACATTTCTTATTAAGTATTGTTGTCTCTTCCTTTGTTTTTTCTCTACCATCCCTTCCCTCCCATCTCCACAACTACACTTTCCTCCCCTCCTCCTCAATTGTAAAGTTCGTATTTCGACATAGCTTCTTGTACATCTCATTGTTGCAATGGGTCAACCTGTATGCCTGTTTAAGCAATTTGTTTTTCCCTTCTCCCCAAATTATATGAACACAGTGAAAACAAGGGTTATACAGTGGGAGAGGAATATACAAAGAAAAAAAAAATCACATGGTACTTATAGATATGTTAGAAACAATAGGAAGAAAGGAAGCAAAACAGTTGTATCCATATCTTGGGGTTCATTTTGCTCAATATCATCTTATCTAACCTTTTCTGCTTGACTCAGACATATACTAGTTATTGCAAATAAGGGAAACTATGGCACCTGTTTCTTTGGGCCTGGCTTATGTCACTCAATATAATTTTTTTCCAAGTCTTTCCATTTCCTAACAAATGGGGCAGTGCCATTCTTTCTGATGGAGGCATAGAATTCCATTGTGTGTATATACCACATTCTCTTAATCAATTCATCTACTGAGGGGCATCTGAGTTGGTTCCATATCTTAGCTATGGTAAATAATGCTGCAATAAACATAGTTGTGCTGGTAGCTTTAGTATGGTCATGATTGTGATCAACTGGATAAATGCCCAAAAGTGGGATTGCTGGGTCATAGGGGAGCTCTATGTGGAGTCTTTTGAGGGACCTCCGTACTACTTTCTAAAGTGGTTGAACAAGTTTACACTCATCCCCTCCAGCATCTCTTGTTATTAGAGTTCTTGATTATAGCCATTCTAATAGGGGTGAGGTGGTATCTCAATGTTATCTTGATTTGCATTTCTTATGGCTAGAGAAGTTGAACATTTCTTCATGTGTTTATTGGCCATTCTTATTTCCTCTTCAGAAAAGTTTCTCTTTGACTCTTTAGCCCACTTATTTATTGGGCAGTTGTTTCTTTGAGGATTTGTTGTT